CAGCGCCTCCTCCTTCCAAACCAACCCGTTCCCCATGTGAGACGGCTTCTGTCCCAGGTCCCTATGCTCCGGCCAAGCAAACTCACGTTTCAGGGACGCAAGTTGGCGCTTTTTAAGGCACTGGTTTCTTAGCTCTGGTGTGAACTCAGGTTTGTCTGGGATCAGCTGAGAGCATGGTACAATGATTTAATTACTAACAGCAACTAAAGTTAAGAAGCTTCCAAATCACTTTTTTTAACCTGTTTTTACTTTTGCTTCATCCTGATAGAACACATAATGTGCGCACGTGTACGTTTCAACAGACATCGTAAGATCTCTGTGACCAGCACAGAGTTCTTTCATTCACCATTAACTTTAAATCCTGAAATTTACCCCTGTGGTTGCACAGAGCTGTATGCAGCTCGCTCCTTCTCCTGCCGTTTAGTAATTCCCACTGTGTGTGTGACTACACCACGATTTTCCTACTTTACTGTTGATGGCTGTCTGGGTCGTCTCCTGTTTGGGGCTTCTCTGAACAGCACGTAGTAGCTGCTGTGAACATTTCTGTGCGTGTCTCCTGGACTGTGCACGCCTGCATGCCTCAGGGCGGTGCCTCAGGCTTCTACAGGAATCACTTAAGGCTATGTTCACATGCGGGTTCTGATTCTCAGTCGGCCTGGCAGGGCCTGAGACTCTGCATTTCTAACGAGCTCCCAGGTGATGCCAATGCTGCTCGTCCTTGGACCACACTTTAAGAAACACAAATCTGCACAGAGTTAGAAAAAGGCTTTCTGTAAAGGGCCAGGAATAAGTAGTTTAGGTTTTGTGAGTCATACAGTCTCTGTCACAACTACTCAACTCTGCCATGACAGCACAGGAGCGGCCAGAGACAATATGTCAACAAATCGACAAGGCTGTGTTCCAATAAAACTTTATTTACAAAATCAAACAGCGGGCTGGATTTGGCCTGTAGGATGTAGGTTGCCAATTTCTGATCTAGGGTATATCCTAGCAGTGGAATGGCTAGGTCAAAGGGTTGGCCCATCTTTAATCTTACTAGGTAATGCAAAAGTGCTTTGCATAGTGGGTGTCATGTTACACGCCCACCAGCGAGGTATGAGAGTTCCTGTTGCATTACGTTCTCACCAACTACTGGCACCATCAATCTTTCTGATTTTTCCAAACTGGTAGATATGCAATGCTATGGTTTACTTTTTTACTGTTTGGGGTCAAAGTGACACCCCAAAGGTGTGCACACGCTCTTGATTCTCAACCTGCAGAGAATGGGGGAGAGCTGCAGCTGCCACCCCAGCAACTTACACAAAAACCAAGGCCAAGCTCATCTGCACCCCGGCAGCATGTGGTCCGTCGGTCCCTTCAGAGTCACCTGAGAGCTTCAGAAAAGAAATCCCCGGGCCTCAGGCCTCAGGATTAATTCAACAAGTGGCATGGGGCTGGTGGCCTGTATTTGTAGGAAAGTTCCTCAGGCGACCCTGCTGTACAGCCAGTCTGAGACCCCTGGTCCAGAGCCTCTGACTGTCTTAGCAGAGGAAATTGAGAAGTGACATGTCAGGGACCAGTAAATGTGAGTGTGGGACTCCCCTCACCAAGGGATCCGCGTTTTCACAAGGGAGAGACTGCTGCCCTGTAATCCTAAACTCAAGCAGTGGGTTTCTCTTTTACTCCATGTCACCTCTGTGGTCTTTTTAAATTCATCATCTAAATGTGTATTTCAATTCTACTAAGTCTACATACAATCCAGGAAACAATAGCTTCGATTGAATTAAACATCAGGGTTAGAAACCACAACTGTTTTTTTTCCTTTGTGAAATTACATTAAAGGTTATGGGAGAATTCCCCATCGAAACAGTAACAACAAAACTCACCTTTTTCAGATCCCATAAACAGATTCTGCAGAGGCAAAAAAAAAAAAAAAAAAGTTAATATTTTTATAAAACTTACTGGATTCTATGAAAAAAATACTTGTAAGATACTGTATTTCCCCATGTATAAGACACACCCTTTTTAAAAAAATTTGGAGTCTAAAAACTGGGTACGTCATACAGTGGTTGTAGGTTTTTTTTTTACTTGCATTTCCCACTTTTTTCGCGCTTGTTTTTGCGCTCATACAACCACTGTATAAGACGCACCCAGTTTTTAAACCCCAAATTTTTCAAAAAAGGGTGCGTCTTATCCATGGGGGAATACGGTACTTAAATTAGTATTCAAGTTGCACTGAGACAATATGACCCACCATTTTCCAATAATGCTGAATGAAAAACAGAAATATTTATTCAAAGGAGGAAAGTACAGCTCACTAGAAACTACTGGAGATTCAAATTTCTGACTCAATTCAGGGCTCTCACAGTAAGCCAACGAACAGCAAAATTTTGAGGACAGTGGAGTAAGCATTTAGCTTACTCTAAAGCAGGGTTTCACAACCTTGGTACTATTTTCGTTATGGGCTGGAAAAGTCTGTTGAGAGGGCAACCTGTGCATTGCAGGATGTTTAGCAGCGTCCCCTGGTCTCCACCCACTAGATGCCAGGAGCACCCCCACGGCTGTGACCTGAAAATGTCTTCAGACATCGCTGCATGTCCTTTGGGCGGTAAAATTCCACCTGGCTGAGAATCACCACTGTAAATTAACTGAATGCACTCAGAACATAAGAAGAAACAGCTACTAGCCCAGGAACTCCACCTGCCGCGGCTCAGCAAGCATCCACCCTGGGAGGGGGAAAAAGAGGCTTGTGGCCGCCCTACTTGCCTCCCGAGTTCACCCCTTTCTCCCTACTCACAGCCCGGATTTTTGATGGGGACACTGTCACATTTCCCAGCTTCCTTTGCCATTTGTGTACAAGCCATGACTACCTTTCGGAGACATGTAACTGGATGTGTGCAGGGGGCTCCGGGGAGTCTTCAATGAGAGACGGCACATCCTACTGTCCCCTTTTCCTCCCTCTGACATGTTGGGCACGAGGTGACACCGAACATGGCAGAGTAGCAAGACAGAAAGAGCTGCATCCCTGATGACTTTGGAGCTGCCACACCAGCCCTGGACGAACCACCTCTAGATTTCTTTCCAGTGTCGGGGAGATAAACGTCACTGTTGTTTAGGTCGCAGGAAGGGCTCGGGTCATAAGCTACTGAGCCCAAGTCCCCGCTAACATGGACATTAATCTGCATTCCCTGGGTGGTCTCGCCTGCTGGGCAACTTGCCGAGGGGAGGGTTGGCCTGGAATTTCATACCTGTCCCCAAGCACAGGCCAACGCCTCCCCCTAGTGGCCAGCCAGAGAAACCGTCCTTCCAGCCCTGGAAGAAAGCCGACTGTGACTGACACAAAGTCACAGCAGGCAGGGTCCTCACTTCAAACCCCAACCTGTTCCGGAGACAGCCACGTCCAGTTCCTTCTCTGACCTGTGCCACATCCCTGATTCTTAACATTTTGAGAAACCAAATCAGCACTTTTTTCCCCAACCGACACTGACATAAGTGACGCTTACAGAGCCCGGGAGTTGGGGCAACGTAACTGATAGTGTAATTTACAAAAGAAATATATATTTGGTCTTCGTAGCACAGAGCTCCTAAACCCTTGGAATTTCCTAAGTGATGATAGAGGTGTCGCCTGCTATGTTAATGAACTGACTTTTGGAAAGCACCTAAGGAAGGGGGCTGGTTTCCAGAGGAATGGACCACGTGATTAGAGGAATGGCACTTTCAGTCCCACCCCCTGATTTCGGGGGAGGGGAGAAGGGGCTGGAATCTGAGTTCAACCGCCAATGGCCAGTGAGTTAATCAACTGCGCCTATAAAACGACAGCCCCATAAAAACCCAAGAGGACCAGGTTAGGTTGGGAGACCTTCTGGGATAGGAAATGAGACCGCTTCCCTGTGCCACTGTGCTGGTCCCCAATTCCACGGGGACAGAAGCTCCTTGGTGAGGGCCCTCACCCTATGCACCTCTTCATCTAACTGTTGACTCGTGCCCTTTAATACCCTTTGTAATAAGCCGGTAATCTAGTGAGCAAAGGGTTTCCTGAGTTCTGTGAGCCGCTCTAGCAAATTAATCGAACCCGAGGAGGGGGTGGTGGGAAGCTCCGAATTACAGCCAGTTGGTCAGAGGCACAGGTGACAACCTGGACTTAACAAATAGCTTCTGACGTGGGGGGCAGTCTTGTGGGACTGAGCCTTTAACATGTGGGATCTGACGCTGTCTCCGGGTCGAATGTGTCAGAACTGAGTTGACTTCTTGGGCAGCCAGCTGGTGTCGGGGAACTGCTGGCTGGCGGGGGAGGGGTGGACAAGTCACACAGTGGAATTGGGTGCAGAATGATAACAAGAAACTCCTACTGAATCTGAAGTTGGCACTGAGAGAAAAGCCTGCTGGGACTTACCATAGACAGCTTCTCTGTGGTGGTGTAGCGGGCCAGGATTTCTCCCCGCTTGCTGGCCCAAGGCTCAAAATCTGATCCGACGACAGAGTTATCATCTCGGTCACGTTTCTTTCTGGAACTGTCCTAAGGAAAGGCAATACAATCTCTTCAGCAGCAATATCATTTTCATCTTTAAAAAAAAAAAAAGGATAAGCAACCATGGTGACTATAGCTGGCAACATGGTACTGTAGAACTGAAATTTCCTGAGAGAGTAGAACTTCAATGTTCCCTCCAAAGAAAAGGGAAATACGTGGGTTGAAGGGTGTGTTAATTAACTCGATGGGGGGAGAATCCTTTCACAACGTACGTATGTATCAAATCACCCCACTGTGCATTTTAAGTATCTCATCACTATTTGTCAATTATATCTCAAAGGTAAAAAAAAAAAAGTATAAGAAGAGGGCAGATAGTCCTCACTGTAGAATAAAATAGATCTGTCTAAAAAAAGACTTGCTATGATAAAAAAAATTTTCAGGCCAATTCAAGGCAAATGGCCAACAAATGTATCAAAAGATGCTTAGACTCATTAAGAGTCAAGGAAAGGCGAGCTGAACAAGGTCATTTTTCAAGGATCAGAATGGCCAAGACTTAACACGACTGATAACATCCAGGCTGGCAAGGGTGCAGGGGGACAGGCCACCCCGAGTCCTGTTGGTAGGGGTACAAACGGGTGAAGCCTTTTGGGAGACCAGTGTGGCAGCAGCCATCAAACCCTTGACCACACGCTGTCCTAACGCAGTCATGAACTTCTGGAAGCTGTCCTGCAGGCAGCCCTCGTGTATGCACCAAGGTATACGTATGTTCAGGGTCCGAGGCACCCCTGTCTACACTGGCAAATACCAAGAACAGCCTGTGTGGACATCAGAAGCCGTGGTGAGTTAGCGTGTGGAGTGCCCGCTGTTTAGGATATGACGCAGCCGTTCACAATTAGAAGGTTATTCCGTAAGTACTAATGCAGAAAATTCTCCAAAATGCATTGTCAAGTTAAAAAAAAAAAAAAGTATAAATATAGTTCAAATTACAGTAAAAAAAAAAAAAGTAAATGGATGTATGCAACACTAGCACAGAATGGTGGCTAAGAACGTGGGTTCTGGAGTCAGATGGGCGGGGAGGGAATTCCAGCTCAGCTGCAACTTAGTATCTCTGTTCCTCCGTGGGGGCCTCTTCAAATGGGGACCGTGATGCCTCTGTCACAGGTGGTCTGAGAGCTAAACCGGGACTGCGCTTAGCAAAGGCCTGCCGCCCGGCGAGGTAATGCTATTACCAGTGCTGTTATTATCACTTATAAATGAGCATGTATATAAGTGCTCAGAATCCGCTGAGAGAGATATCCATGAAAGCACAGGGAAAGTTCCAGAAGAACACACATCACACCGACTGTCACTGATGACCTCCAGGGCGAACAGAATGACGGCCAGAGGTCAACAGGACGTCATCAGCGGCGTCTGACTCACTCTACGTGGAAAATTAGTGAATTACTTATGTAACCACATAAAAATAAATCCGACAGAATTATAAAAAGAGGGAAATGAAAATAATGAGTACATTTTAAAACGCTTTCAAAAAAAGAAAGGAAGACACTTCCAGGCCCTCCTCCAGCCTCTCCCCGCAGCGTCACCCTCTCGAGGCTGGACCCTGTGGACGTCTGCACTATTTGAGCTGTGACAACCAGGTGACACCATGTTTCATCATTCCATTAGACGCCCCCCCCCCGCAATCCCTGCACCCACAGGGCCCACCCCCAGTGGCACTGCGCCCCTGAGGGATGTGTTACCGTGGCGGCCGCCCTGCCCGCGGGGTCAGCAGTGGCTGCGAACATGGACAGGGGGTCGGTCCCATCCAGGACGCTGCTCAGCGGGTCCACCACGGAGCTGGAGGACGACGAGGACGTCGAAGACGTGCTTCCTTTCCGGCTCACTTTCTTCGTCTTTGACTCCGTGACCTGTGGGGAACGGTTGTAGAGGTCAAACGGGAGTCTCCCCACGTCTTCCCAGTGAAACACTCCAACGGGCTTTCCCCAGTTCCGGGGAGTGGCGTGACTGTTCCTTTGAGGCCGAGATGCTCATTTTTATGACAAATGGACAGGACTCAGAACACCAGTGGCCGAGGAAGGGAAGGTAGGAAGTCAGGAAGGAAGACACAGGGCCACTGTGATGAGGTGAGACAGATGCATGCTTGTGGGTGGGCCCTTGTCACTCGGGGGGGGGTCCCAAGTCACCTGGCTGCTTCTAAAGGTGCAGAAGCCTCAGGCCCCACCGTAAGCCCCCAGGGTCGCCGCACTCTGCAGACAGCCTTGGTGACAGTCCTTCCTTTCTGGAGAGCTCCGCCCATGCCACGTCCTCATGTGTGTGCTGGCAGCAGGTGCTGGGGGTGAAGCCATGCTCCTGTCCCACTGGCCCCCATCCTTCCCCAGCTTCAGATGCCGGAACCAGGGGTGAACCCGAGCCAAGAGGGTCCAACCAGAGTCTCTGCTAAAAACTGGGAGCCACGTCCAGATGGGCTCACTAAGGTCCACTCCTTTTCAAATGGGAAGCTATGAAAACCCAGGGGCTGGACAGAGATGGCCATTCCGGACATGTGTCCACAGGGAGGTAGACGAAACCAATCTTTGGGGAGACAGAAGGACAGGATGTACCAGAATGAAGGAGGGACAGAACGTTAGATGAAAGAGAATTTAAAGTGTGAGTGGCCTGGGCACCCCCAATGTGCCACTGGTGTCTGAGGTGAGAGCTGTCTTATGGAAGACCCTCCCCTACACCTGTGGGGCCTGACACTAACCCGGGTCATTGGTGCACATGCGTCATTCTGTCTGCCTGGCAACCAGTCCTCCATCCCCAGGGCTCAACAGTCCAAATTCTCTGTGGGAAAGCAGCCCTCCCCGGGCCTCAGCTGCTACTGGCCTGGTGGGTGGACTCTGCTCCCGGTTCCTGAGCTGGGCACTAGCCCCAACCCAGTCGATCAGCACGTTCTACACTCTGGCCACCAGGCTTGGTTCAGGGAAGGACACGTAACCCAACTGGCTAAACAAAACCTGCTGGAGAAGAGATCGCCCTGCTGTGTCACCAGTGACATGTGAGCTTGGAGCTGCTGCAGCTACTCTGTCACCGTGTAGGGGGCGAGTTCCTGAAAAGGGAACCATCTCACAGATGGGTCGGCTACAGGGGCCCATGGGGATTTCAGCGGCCCTGGGAGGCCAAAGGTCAGTCTTGTGACCTCCTGCTTTATGTGACCTCTGTGCGTTTACGTAAGTCCTCCACTATAAGAAACTTTATGTCCTTGGTATCCACTGGCATCTGAATGCCAACCTCATCTCCACCCATGGTGACAACCCCACTGCTTCTACTACTTGCTAATTAAAGGGCGCTACTCCAGAAGGGAGTGACCAGCTACGTCTCTTGCCTGCTTTTTGTTTTGTTTAGTTTTGTACATAAGCTCACAGATATACTATGATGCCACTCAGGACAGCATCCTATACTGGTAACTACAGTTATTCTTAATATTCCAAACAGGTGAATTAAACAAGCAAGACATAGGGCAGCCAGTTAGCTCAGCTGGTTAGAGGACAGGCTCATCACACCAAGGTTGCTGGTTCGATCCCCACACGGGCCACTGAGCTGCGCCCTCCACAACTAGATTGAAGACAACTACCTGACTTGGAGCTGGTGGGTCCTGGAACAACACACTGTTCCCCAATAAAAAAAATAAAATAAAAGCAAGACATATTCTGCTTACACCTCCAAACCAGGAACAAAGCACCCCATACTCATGACAACCTCACTAACATGAGAAAGGGGAGAATAAAAACGATGGTGGATGAGGCCAATATCACAAACAATGGGGCAGGGAACAAGCTGGTTGATTTAAACACGCAACAAGGAAATGACCCAGGAATGTCGTCTGTCATTGTACAGAATAGGAGTATCATGTAGGGAGGCCCCTGACAAAACTTACAGTTATGGGTTTCAGTGGGTGATAGTCCCCAAATTCCAGTGGCACAGCCTCCAGCCGGCATGACGCAAATTCGGCCTTGTAGTTCCTGCTCCTGGAATGCCTAGGAAACAGCAAAACCCAGAAACCGATTAGCGGATGGAGGTACCGAACACACTAAAAACTTTTTGCTCAGACTTCCGCAACGACGAGGCAGCTTACAGAGGAATGGTATTTCTACCACGACCAACGAGAAATGGTACATTTAAAAATTCATTTTTAAAAACTCAGTTTGAAGGAGCTGCCTAGATACACAGGACCCGTGAGGCCAGACACCAGAGCCCAGGGAAACTTGGTGAGGTGAAGCCAGCTCCCCTCACCCCCAGGGCATTCGCTGAGGGATTAGGGGCCGGAGCCAGGCAGAGGGCGGCTGCTAGGAGCCGATCAGCCAGGAGAGCTTCAAGGACACCTCACGGGGCTGGAGAGATGCGTTAGGGTCGGGGCTACCGAGACAGCCAGGGCTGGAGGGAAGAGCTTCTAGAGACAGGGGGCTGCAGACAAGTGAGAAATCCGGCCCTGCCTCCCTCTCAAAGTGCTCGCCAGCTAAGTGTGAGCAGCAGAAGGAATCGAAGCAGAAGAGAGATGAGAAGCCGTTTTCATCTGTCTTGTGAGGGCTCAACACGTGGGGGCACCAGTGAGATGGCAAATAAAAGGGGAGAGAGTCTCCACATTGAAACATGAAAAGGAGAAGGTGGAAAGCATGGAAAAGAGAGTCGAAGACAAAAGGGAGGTGAAGGAGGACCTAACACACACGCACAACGGGAACCCCAAAGGGGAAAAGACAGAGGATGGGCAGAAGCAGTATTTGAAGATGTAACAGCTGAAACTTTCCCCAAACTAAAGAAAGACATCAAGCTACAGACTCAAGGCACACGTGTGCCCCCAAGCAAGCCTCAAAAACAAAACCAACCAAGCATCCGTAGGGCCTTCGCGGTCAAATGGCTAGAAGTTAAAGAGAGGGGGTTTCTTAAAAGGAAAAAAGAAAACACGATTTTCAAAAGACAACAAGGAAATGATGACCTCAGCACAGAGCTGGGAGCCTCCTAGAAGATAAGGACACTCATACCTTTCAAGTACTCAAATACAGTAACTGCCAACCAAGAATTCTACACCCCGTGAAACTATCCTTCACACAGAAGGGCAGAAGAAACCAGTGTGCAGTCAAAGAAAAACCAAGCACAGTGTCAGCAGCAGAACCACACTTTAAAACAATAAAAGCATATATATTTAAATACACAGAGGGGGCCAAAAAACGTGTACACGTTTTAAGAAAGAAAAAAAACTGTATTAAAATTGTAATACTCAATATATACTGATAACAAAAGATGAATACAAGTCATGTGTATACATATTTTGTTTTTGGCACCCCTGGTATATGCATGTAACACATATACTAAATGACTACTGACTGCAAAAAAATAGCAGAACACAGGGACCTGGCCACTTTGTTCCTTGGTATCCAAATCTCTTGTCTTCATCGCCCCCTTGCCCCCCATTCACAGTGCCCCGACTTCATTCCTCTCTGTATGAAACCTGAGCACCCCCAACCTAACTGTACCAATGACTCAATGTTCCCCACTAACCAGAAACCAACGCAGTAGGGAAGAACTGAGCTCCTATGTACTTTCACTGCTGCCTTTTCTAAATCAACGTGGCTCCGAGTGCAGGAGGAGAAAGGCTGGTTAACATGGACCAGTTTCTACTTCTTTTTTTTTTAGGGAAAACCCCAACCACAGTATATTGCCCAGTCCCTCTGGGTCATGTTTTATTATTAAAAATATACACTGTGGGGCCGGCCGAGTGGCGCATTGGTTAAGAACTGGCTTGGGATGCCAGAGGGCCCCGGTTCGGATCCCACATATGAGGGCCAGTGACACTGCCCTCC